AGCTGGAATTCTGGGCTGGAAAAGGAGCAAATATTAGAGACCTATTATGCACAACTCCAAAAGTCCTGAAACTCCACGAAAGTCAGTTTTGGAATATATTAAAAATATTGGGCGAAGAAAGAACCAGAGGGGGGCCACCCACTATCCACAAGGGTGGAGGGCGCGCCCTACCCCCCTGTGCGCGCCCCCTGCCTCGTGGGCCATCTGGCAGCCCTCTGATGCCCATCTTCTGGTATGTGGTATCTTTTGCCCTGGAAAAAAATCATAAGGAAGCTTTCGGGATGAAGCGCCGCCGTCTCGAGATGGAACCTTGGCAGAACCAATCTAGGGCTCCGGCGGAGCTGTTCTGCCAGGGAAACATCCCTCCGAGAGGGGGAAATCATCACCATCGTCATCACCATTGATCTTCTCATTGAGAGGGGGTCAATCTTCATCAACATCTTCACCAGCACCATCTCCTCTCAAACCCTAGTTCATCTCTTGTGTCCTATCTTTGTCTCAAAACCTCAGATTGGTACCTGTGGGTTGCTAGTAGTGTTGATTACTCCTTGCAGTTGATGCTAGTTGGTTTATTCGGTGGAAGATCATATGTTCAGATCCTTTATGCATATTAATACCCCTCTGATTATGAACATGAATATGATTTGTGAGTAGTTACGTTTGTTCTTGAGGACATGGGAGAAGTCTTGTTATAAGTAGTCATGTGAATTTGTATTCGTTCGATATTTTGATGAGATGCATGTTGTCTTTCCTCTAGTGGTGTTATGTGAACGTCGACTACATGACACTTCACCATTGTTTGAGCCTAGGGGAAGGCATTGGGAAGTAATAAGTAGATGATGGGTTGCTAGAGTGACAGAAGCTTAAACCCTAGTTTATACGTTGCTTCGTAAGGGGCTGATTTGGATCCATATGTTTCATGCTATGGTTAGGTTTACCTTAATTCTTCTTTCGTAGTTGTGGATGCTTGCGAGGGGGGTTAATAATAAGTGGGATGCTTGTCCAAGGAAGGGCAGTACCCAAGCACTGGTCCACCCACATATCAAACTATCAAAGTAACGAACGCGAATCATATGAGCATGACGAAAACTAGCTTGACGATAATTCCCATGTGTCTTCGGGAGCGCTTTGCTTTATATAAGAGTTTGTCCAGGCTTGTCCTTTGCTACAAAAAGGATTGGGCCACCTTGCTGCACTTTATTTACTCGTGTTACTTGTTGCCCATTACGAATTACCCTATCACAAAACTATCTATTACCAATAATTTTAGTGCTTGCAGAGAATACCTTACTGAAAACCGTTTGTCATTTCCTTTTGCTCCTCGTTGGGTTCGACACTCTTACTTATCAAAAGGACTACGATAGATCCACTATACTTGTGGGTCATCAAGACTCTTTTCTGGCGTCGTTGCCGGGGAGTGAAGCGCCTTTGGTAGGTGGAATTTGGTAAGGAAAATTTTATATAGTGTGCTGAAATTTACTGTCACTTGTTACTATGGAAAATAATCCTTTGAGGGGCTTGTTCGGGGTATCTTCACCCCGACCAGTAGAGCAAAGAGTTGCTCCTCAACCTACTGAACCTACTGAAAATGTTTACTTTGAAATTCCTTCGGGTATGATAGAGAAACTACTAGCTAATCCTTTTATAGGAGATGGAACATTACATCCCGATGTGCACCTAATCTATGTGGATGAAGTTTGTGGATTATTTAAGCTTGCAAGTATGCCCGAGGATGTTATCAAGAAGAAGGTCTTCCCTTTATATTTGAAGGGAAAGGAATTGACATGGTTTAGGCTATGTGATGATATTGGATCATGGAACTACAACCGATTGAAATTGGAATTTCATCGGAAGTTTTATCCTATGCATCTGGTTCATCGTGATCGTAATTATATACATAATTTTTGGCCTCACGAAGGAGAAAGTATCGCTCAAGCTTGGGGGAGGCTTAAGTCAATGTTATATTCATGCCCCAATCATGAGCTCTCAAGAGAAATTATTATTCAAAAAATTTATGCTCGGCTTTCTCTCAATAATCGCTCCATGCTCGATACTTCTTGTACTAGTTCTTTTATGATGAATACTATTGAATTTAGATGGGATTTATTGGAAAGAATTAAACGCAACTCTGAATATTGGAAGCTCGATGAAGGTAAGGAGGCAGGTATAACACCTAAGTTTGATTGTGTTAAATCTTGTATGAATACCAATGCTTTTCGTGAATTTAGCACTAAATATGGACTTGACTCTGAGATAGTAGCTTCTTTATGTGAATCATTTGCTACTCATGTTGATCTTCCTAAGGAGAAGTGGTTTAAGTATCATCCTCCCATTGAAGTAAAAGTAGTAGAACCTATTAAACTTGAAAAAAAGACTATTACTTATAATGTTGATCCTATTGTTCCTACCGCTTATATTGATAAAACCACATTTCCCTGTTAGAATAAAGGATCATGCTAAAGCTTCAACTGTGGTTCGTAAGAGTAATGCTAGAACACCTACACCCCCCGAGCAGATTAAAGTTGAACCTAGTATTGCTATGGTTAAGGATCTCTTGGTCGATAATATTGATGGACATGTTATTTACTTCTGTGATGAAGCTGCTAGAATTGCTAGACCCGATATTAAAAATAAACATAGACTTGTTGTTGGCATGCCTTTTATTTCTGTTAAAAATAGGAGATCATTGTTATCATGGCTTATGTGATATGTGTGCTAGTGCGAGTGCAATACCTCATTCCTTATACGAAGAAATTATGCATGATATCACACCCGCTGAAATAGAAGGGATTGATGTTGCTATTAAGCTTGCCAATAGAGATAGTATTTCACCAATAGGGATTGTTAGAGATGTTGAAGTCTTGTGTGGGAAATTAAATATCCTACTGATTTTCTTGTTCTTGGTTCCCCACAAGATGATTTTGTCCCATTATATTTGGTAGACCCTTCTTGAATACTGTTAATGCTAAAATAGATTGCGAAAAGGATATTGTTACTGTTGGTTTAGGGGATATGTCTCATGATTTTAATTTTACTAAATTTCGTAGACAACCCCATGATAAACAATTGTCTAGTAAAGATGAAATTATTGGTCTTGTTTCTATTGCAGTGCCTCGTAATGATGCTTTAGAATAATATTTGCTAGACCATGAAAATGATATGTTCATGAATAAAAGAAGGGAAATAGATGAAGTATTCTTTAAACAGGGACCTATATTGAAATACAACTTGCCTGTTGAAATCCTAGGGGATCCTCCTCCACTCAAGGGTGATCCCGTGTTTGAGCTTAAATCTTTACCTGATACTCTCAAATATGCTTATCTTGATGAAAAGAAGATATATCCTGTTATTGTTAGTGCTAACCATTTTTTTTACAAATTCGTGAACAATTTTTGAATTCTAGAGCATTTTTCTGTAATCATGATTTACTTATTTTGTGAACATTTTTCAATTTTGCGAACATTTTTTTGAAGTCATGAACATTTTTTTAAATTTGTGAACATTTTTTGCCAAACTTATGAACAATTTTTGAATTACCGAGCATCTTTTTGAAAATAATTTTTATCAAATCATGATTGTTTTATTCAAAATTAGCAACTTTTCTGAAATTTAGGACCTTTTGATATCCCGAATTATTGAAAAAAAAGAAGAAGAAAAAAGAAAAAGGAAACATCCGCAAAAAAAACCGGTGGCATCCCGGCCACACATGGGCCGGCCCATAAGGGGAGCGGGGGGTGCGCGCCCGCTTTCTTCATAGCGCGTGTTGCGCCCTATAGGGGCTCGTAGCGGGGTGTCCCTATTTAGTGCGTGACGCGTTGACGAGCGAGCCAGCATGCACCCACTCCCCTCCCGTGCCCCTTATTGGGCCGGCCCATGAGAGGGGCGAGACGCCCCCACTTGTGTTTTTAGATCGTTTTTTCTTTTTCTTTTCTTCCAATTTCAGTTTTTGTTCTTTAAAATAATTTGGGATTTCAACGAAATACTAAATTCAGAAATCATAAAAAAATCGTGGATTTTTTTTCATTTTTTTGAAAAAAGATTCACGTATTAAAAAATGTTCAAAAAAGAGAAGATGGCTATGAATTACAACAAAAGTTGATTGATTCAAAAAATCTTCATTGATTCAAAATGTTTAATTATTTAAAAAAAATGTTCAGCAAACCAAAATGTTCATGTGTTTTAAAAACTGTTCATCGATGCAAAAAATTGTTCGATGATTCAAAAACTGTTCATCGATTCCAAAATGTTCGCCGACTCAAAAAAGTTCATGTTTTAAGAAATGGTTTGCTGATTGAAAAACATTCGCCAGTTCAAAAAATATTCGCTGATTCAAAATAATATTTTCACATGTTCCAAAAAAGTTCACAATTTCGAAAAAGCTATGTTCACAAAAAATAAAAAATGTTCGTGATTTCGAAAAATATTCGAAAATTTGAAATATGTTCACGGTTTGATAAAATGTGTTCACAATTATAAAAATGTACACGACCTAAAAAAGTTTTCAAATTTGGAAAAGACGTTCACTAAAATGAAAACTGGAAAATGAAAATAAATAAAAGACAAACTTAGAAAAAATAAAAAGAAAACATAAAAGTAAAAATTAAAGAACGAGAAATATAAAAAAATAAGGATGAGAAGATAAAACAAAGAAATAAAAAGAAAAAATCCGGTTCAGTGAAGGTTCTAGACAGCGCCGTACAGGCCGAATAGGAACGGCCGTGCCGCCCGGCCTACCTTAGAATATGTTTTTTTAAGGGAAGCCTACCTTAGAATGGTGAAGGCTGACCCGAAAACTCTTTATTGGGCCTAGATATGGGCCGAAACCGGCGTCGAGACTCGAGAGCAGTTCGCCCGTTAGCACCACAGCGGAGAAGCAAAAGCCCCAATCCCCTCCCCCTCCGCCGCCGTTCTTCTCCGTCCGCCTGCGCTCCAGCCGTGCCCTTCTCGTCGCCACCTACCGGCCTGGAGCTCTCCAGCCACCGACAACCGGAGGCGGCGCCATGTCTCAGAACAACCCCTCCCAGCTCCTCCCCTCAGGTGCGCGGAACAACATCGCTTTTCCTCGCAAAGCTTGTTTCGATTCCCCTAGCTGGATAGCTCCATCGTCTAATCTGCTGGGTTCGAGCTCCTGACTCACGGGCTTTGCCTCTTTTCTGTGCGCGTGTCTCCACGCGCGCGCGCGTGCTTGTGCGAACTGGTGCGACGGGCAGAGCTGATCGACCGGTGCATCGGATCCAAGATTTGGGTGATCATGAAGGGAGACAAGGAGCTCGTCGGCACCCTCTGCGGGTTCGACGTCTACGTCAACATGGTCCTCGAGGACGTCACTGAGTAGTAAGTGGAGATCGCCCAAACCCTAAACCCCAGTTTCTTTAGATCGATGCGCATCAGTTCTTACCTGGAATCTTGGGCCAAGTCTGTCTTATTTTGAGTGAACTATCAGCATATTTTAATTTATGCTGATGTGTAACCTAGTTATGACGTGAATTTGTACTTACACATATGTTGTAACAGTGTCACACATGTGACCGTAGTGAAAATATGTTAACAATTCGCACCAGATTAGCATGACCGCAGAACAGAGGTTTCTCTGAAGGCCACTGTTTCGCCTATAGTCTTTAAAAGATTAGCATGACCGCAGGAGTTCACGTCAATTAACGAACTGGACATCTTCTATCAGTCTATCTGATGGGTCCTGGGCTCGTTGGAGATTGTGTATTTCGTCTTGTCTTATACGGAGCAGATTAGAAACTCTCACTATCAGTGTTGGTACTTGATGCATACAACACAAGGTTGCAGTAGTAGATATAAAACGAGCATTCGTGCAGCTGTTGCATATGTATCTCACATCGACACTTGCTTGACTTCCAAAGATCACAACACAGCTATCTGTTTTCTGATTTAACATTGTGTATCATGATTTGCTGATAGAATGAAAATGGATATAGACAAGTGTACTAGAAGGCTGGGAGGGAGTTGTCTACTTAGAATAGAAACTGATATTCCTTTTCGGAGATGCTGGAAGTATTTCTCCATGGATGTTGTGCTAATTTTGCCGTTCATGTCACACTAGTCCATGGATAATGCAGTGAATTTTCAACTTCCATTGATTTCACACTAGTTCATCAAAGATGCTGAGATGGTGGTGCATAATGTCATGTTATTGCAAATTCGTGTTGCAGCTGCAAAAATAAATTAAATATCATGACTATTAGTATTTGATGCATCTCTGAAGGAAATCATATATAGACCCAGTTTCGTGTGCACCTGATGGCAAGGCAAACATTGAATGCTTGGCGCATAATTGAGTATGTTTAGTGAAATGCTAGATATTGATGGATCTTCCCTTTGCTTAGGCGACGCTAAGTAGTTGCAAAATTTTCTAGGTAGTTAATCTGGAAGCTCATTACTTAAAAATGATGTTTACGAGTAGTTCTTTGTTGGCTTCTTACATACTTTTTTGTCTGTTCTTTTTTTGAGGACTTGCTTCTGAAATTCAAGTCTAATATCCTCGGTTCAATTTTCCTTTGCATGTTTTGCAGTGAGTATACCGCCGAGGGCCGGCGCATTACGAAACTTGATCAGATCCTCCTCAATGGCAACAACATAGCCATCGTAAGAATTTACATTCGAACACCAACATCAGTATCTGACTGTGCTAAACGATCAGGCTGATAACATTTTTGTTTTTTCCCTGACAGTTAGTTCCTGGTGGTTCACCGCCAGATGCTGCATGAGCTAGCAAGTACTTCTGGAGGATATCTGTTTGAGGCTAAACGAGACGCGGTGAAGTCTGAACCTTGTATTGTGAAAGCGCTAGATATTTCTTGGTCAAATGTGCTTTCCTCTGTATGGAACCTACTGAGCTGAAAGATGCACCTGCGATTGCTGCACTTGTATGACTTGGCATTCGGCAATGCTAATTGCGACATGTCTCTAGTCGCTGTTTATGTTTATCATTCTGCAATGTTCCTCCGGACGATTGCAATTGTGGGGTTACTGAAATTATAGGTAGGCGATTTTGTCGTAGTGAGCATGGGGGCTGGCTTCTAAAATAAGCTGGGGAGGAAGCCATTTGGTTCATAATTTTTTTTAAAAACTCTAACAAACACTACATTTTTTCCCCACTAAACGAACACATCAATACAAAACAGTGAACAAACACAGTAAAACGTGACATGTCATGTTATTTTTTTTTCTTTTACATTTGTCCGGACATACTTCCTCTGCTCACAAATACTCCCTCCGTCCGAAAATACTTGTCAGAGGAATGGATGTATCTAGATGTATTTTAGTTCTAGATACATCCATTTTTATGCATTTCTCCGACAAGTATTTCCGGACGGAGGGAGTACTGTATAGGATGTTTTGGATATTTCAATATGGACTACATACAGACTGAAATGGGTGAGCAAACACACGTTTTATTTCAATATGGACTACATACAGACTGAAATGGGTGAGCAAACACACGTTTTATGTACATCCGATTCACAATAAAGTTGGAACATATATTTGTGAACTGATTGTAAAATCAGTTGGTAATCAGTTAATTCTCTACCTTTGAAACAATATTTCATTTAATAATGCACTTACAAACTGTTTTTTATATTTATAAGAGTAATTTTGTAAATCAACTGACTACTATCATTCACAGTCGACTGAGACATGCTTTCCTTATTTTTCTAATGAGCTTGCAGTTTAAAGCTACAAAATTGATGGTTCAACTTTGGTGCTGTAACCTAATGAAATTGGGAAATTATACACTTGAGTGACCAAGTTGTTCTGTACTCCATTGCATGCCTAATCCAAAGATGAATTGTCCTGAACCAGAAGTCGCGGTCGAGTAGCTCCGAGTAATGATGCCAGATACCAGTAAAACCTCGTGTGCACCAGCCCATGTAGCATCAAGAAGACGTTGGTTTGAATGTAAAAAAAAAAGTTGGTTTGAGAGACTATGCTCTCACGGCTACAGGCACACCAACTGCAGGGATGAAGCAGACGCAACGTGGGCCAAACGATATTCGTCGAAGCGCAGAGCGGAGCCGAGAGGCAAAACAATGATTCTTTAACTCAAAAGTCCAAATATTTGCACAAGATAAACAACTAAGCATACAAAAAGCACATTCCTATTTCTGTTCTCTTCCTCAAATCTGTAGACAACAGCAATATATACAGACGGCTTTACAGCTACACATTGTTTCCTGGGCATTAGCCACTGTATATTACATAACTATGATTTTCTTACCTTCTATGCATGTTCTGTGAAGTATGGATACAAAGAGTATTGCTCACAAGCCACCACATCAAAGGATTGGCGGCACGAAACACACCGGAGGTGAACGAAGTTGTCATCATCAACCTGCTGAACAGTTGGAATGTGCTAAGCTTTCAGCAATCAATGAAATATAACTTAAGAAGAAACTAGGATACATTTTGCTTTTGAAGATAAGCTACTTCAACTGTCCATTTTTACGACTATTTTAGCAAGTGTGGCATGCAAATAGAAATTTTAGACAATCTTGAGCATATACCTAACTAGCATCAAATTACTACCGATAAGGGCATCCCAAAATGGATACTCCCCTGGTGAATCCGTTAATATTGACAATCAAACATCCTACCAGTTTCCACGGATAACACGCACACACACGTTTTCAATAATGGAAGCTTTATGCACAATCAAAGTAGTTTTAGTTATCACGCCCATACTCCATACACAGGTTATGCAGGTACCAGTCATTCCAAGTGTTGATCCTTACTGGAATGCAACATAAGCATATATAAATACCTATTAGAGAAATAATTAGTTGAATCTCATTTCCATATGTCCATCTATCTATGGAGTGTCTTGTTGTCAGGTATCTTCTCTTGTTTTTAAAAAGCTTGCACTGTTTTTTTTAAGGAAAAAACTAGTGCCTGTATATTTATTCTTGGGCAACTAATTCTTACATTTGTGTGATTACTACCAGGATTCCTTAAGCTTCCCACGCGGTAATTTTTATAGCCATTTTAGGTGACACACAGAAATTAGAAAACTGAGATACGAAGTTTAGTGACAGGAATCGAATGCAGGATCTGAACTCATTAATTACCAGCTAAAATATCCTCGCTATTTGGTATGTTCATACTCCTGGTTCTTGAATGGATCACTTGAACTCACCTCATTCTTTGCAAACTGTCACAAATCAAAGGTCAGATTCAGCATTTCAGAACCAAGAAGCAGAAAATATGTCAGACAGAGAAACAAACCGTTGTTGTCGTTATTGTCGCCATTGTGACGGGTTGACTCGATGGCAAGATGAAGTTGCTCCAAAATAGATGGTCCGCGGAAGGATCGGCAGGGCTCCAGGTACTTTTCATTGGTGTAGGCATAACAGGGGCCAATGTGTATGGAGCTCTTTGTACTAGCAACCCATTCATGTTAATGTCAACTGGAGATGTATGATGTCCAGTAGTAGGTACTGACACGACAACCTTTCCTTCATCTATTTCTTTGCTAAATGTACATTCTTCAGATAATTTTGTAGACTTCTCCAAGAAGCTTTTGAAGGCACCAGACTGAGATAAGATACTGCACGCAGATAGCCCCGCTGAAGAGGGATTTGAATGGGAACCGAGGCCAAGAGAAGGCAGCTTATAGGGTTCAGTCAGTTGCACTGAACCTTCTATAGCACGGATTTCATCAGCGACCTCTTCTGCTTTTGATGTATCTGATTGCCGTGTCTTTTTTGGTACCCACCACCTAATGTAATTTGTTAAATCAATTTTCCTCTCTAACCCAAAGCTTCCTGCAAATTTTCCATCCAGTGCAATGCCCTTTCCTGTAACATAAATAAGTTGCAACTTACAAGGTATCGCTGCCTATTTATCACTTTAGTTTGTTAACTCGAAGAGCAGTGTAGTAGTATGCATAGACGCACCACAACTGAGGTTCATGTAGTCATTGCCAAGTAGTTGTCCCAAAGAAGCATCCCATCTGGAATTATGGAGCTGCCTGTATGACATAAATATAAAGCTTAAGTAATGCACTTGCAGATTTTTAGTGACGGTTTATGTCATGAAACTTAATTGAAAATTTGAACATTTCTTGTTGCAGCATTTATGATTACAATCTGGACATGGCACACATCTTACAAAACTTTTACTTTATATGCCCGGCACAGTTTAAGTTGAAAAGGTAGTCTTCAATGCTGATGTCTGGTCAATATTTCAGACTAATGGAACTAATAAAGCTAGTATTACATCACTTGTCACCAATTGATATTGTACCACCACTTTCCAAATACGAATGTCTACCTGTATATGGATAGGCCCCACATTGCCAATGATCAGATCCGACTCATGGTACAGAGTGAAAAACTAGGTACTTGTTGTATTAGTATGATGCCCAAAAGGCATACGTACTGTATGATTGAGGGATTGAGTTTGGAAGCAATTTATGTTTAGTACAAGCTGCAGATATGTTCATTTTCCAAACTAAGCGCAATTTTGCTTCAAGGAGCTACCGAAGTCTAACCAAGGGCTACCAGTATAGAACTATACTCTTTTTTCAATCCAATTTTTAAGGAAACTGCCAAGCTGTCATGGTGCAAAACCACAGTTTGATACATCAGCTATTGAATACTTTATTTGCTCATTTTAGTTTTGCAGTGTTGCCCTGTCGTGAAGATTTCTGGCAGAAAAACAGAAAGCAACAGAAAAGGTTACAAACTAATATATCAGATTGTAGCTAAATTTCCAACCCATTAAGTTGTGTGGCAGAAATATTTGTAGCAATAAAGCACAATACAATCATATTAAGCAAAGTATCGACAGTTTAAACAATTTGGAATAAATGATTTGCATGTAGGAAAACTTTTACAGGGATGCATTACAGAGTAAACTCTCGTAAAACAACAAACATAAAAAAAAGTTGCATAGTAGAGGATATATTTCTCAATCATTAAAACATACCTGGGAAGCCCACGATATTTTGGTAATCCCCTAGAGAAGGCACTGCTCTTTCTGCAAGGCATGCATCTTCCAGTCATTGCTTAAGAAAATAAATAATGTCCATGCATTATAAATGCACGAATATACCTTCTAAGAGATACAAGATAGTCCTCCTTGGAGATCATCTGCATCTCTTCAACATCTCTTGTATAATCGGAGACCTAAATACGCAAACACATAATGAACATAAGTTTGCCAATTGTCAAAATTTTCATTAGATATTGTGACAATTGACATGGAATTGAAAATAATGAAGCAATTATAATGTTTGTTTTGTCAATACTCCTCAGAAGACGTCGGTGTTATTTGTTTTAGGTTACAATTGTAAAATAGAACAAAAATAAAAAAACCAAATCATAGACTTATAATAAAGATGAGCTGAGGTCACATATATCCTAATTTTAATTGTGCTTTATGAAAAGTAGGCACTACATAGTAAACAGTTTTGAGTTTTGTCCAACACTTATATCTGTAAATATGTAACCAAGCCAAACCAGATAAGAGAATCATCGGCTTAAACTGAACTGAGGTAACATGTATCTCAAATTTTGATATACATAATGTAAAGTAGACAAAAGACATTAGATATTTCTGAAATCTAGATATTAAATTTGGAAGCTTCCAGTTTCTGTGCAAGAATTTTGTTACATCTCAGGTTCTCATTGCTGAATATTAGTAACAAACAGACTGAGTAGCACACAAAGTATCAGTTTCACCATGGGACACTTCCTTAAATAAATGATTAATGCATTCAACTAAACCATGATCTTATTAAAAAGGAAAAAAATATACTCCCTCCGTTACATAATGTAGTGCATATAGATTTTTTTTAAAGTCAAACTCACATACTTTGACCAAGTTGTTGAAGAAAAACATATACATCTAGAATGTCAAGCGTATATCATTAGGTTCATTATAAGTAGTTTCATATTTTATATATTTGATATTGTAGATATAAATAGTTCTCTATAAACTTGGTCAAAGTTTGACTTCAAAAATCTACACGCACTATCTTTCCTACTTATAAAGATTGGAGTTGGTGGTGAGTTCATGTGTGGGTCCAACATCCTTTCCAAATAAACAAATACGAGCATCCTCACATGTGGAACTAGCAATCATCCAAAAGAGATATAAACAAATATACCTTACTCACATGTGGGATCTATCATAAATAAATAAATACACTAATTTCATGTGAGACCATTTTTTTGTAGAAGGAACAAATAACAAACACAAAATTGTGACTTCAACTCAAAATCGATCTTGGTTTTAGTTTCTCTTCCCAACCTACTATGGTCATTTTAAATTCTCTGACATTGCATGCCCCTCACCGTATTTTTGCTATCTTTACTAATCATAAATTGTGCAACGGACACAAGGACACTAACGTTATTTGACCACCTCCTAAGCCAATGGCTCCGTGGCAACGCACGGGCACCGTGCTAGTATTATGGAACAAAGGGAGTACTTAATAATTTCAGGTTAACAGAGACTAGAAAACAAGCTGAATGGCGTTAGCAAATCTTATAGACGACTCACAGGAAAATTTATCTGTGTTCCAGCTCCCCAGTATTTCAATGCAGCAAGATCATAGGCTCTTGCCGCAGCCTCTTCATCATCATATGCGCCTATGTTGCACATCAAATGGTGGGCATTAGAAACATCTTATCAAGTTAACACTATGTGCATTTTAATGTCAGCGTCGGCGGTGCTCCTTACCCAAATATACTGCAAGATTGGTGCGCCGTGTAGTTTCCCATGTAAAAGAAACAATGACATTAAATTACATTAAGCACAACTACAGATAAAAAATTAAAATGGTAAATCATACTGATATAGTTAACTTTAAGTCTTTAACACAGGTCATCTTATGGAGATATGAAAGAAATCATGCACATAATATAAAAACTGAGATATGCAGAGTGCAGACTCTTTACACTCAGTAAATGCATGCAGTGGTTATGGCACAACAAACAATTATCTAGTCAAAGGGGGCCTGACTCAAGCAACAGTAAAAAAAGGCCTGTTCGAGTGTATAGACGGAAGAACTACTTAATTACTGCATACATTCCATATCTGATGATGAATGATTGGGGATTAGAGACCTTAAGACAAATGGCCTCTGCAATAAAAGGAAGCTAAGATGGACAAGTTTTCCTATACACCAATGTAAGATTGCTAAAGAAGCATGATAAATTTACAACAGCTGTAACTCTGCACTGAGCACACAATAGTCACATACCTTGTTTCCCTTTTTTGTTCTGATTCTGATTCCATGTGCTTTTATCCCAAAGGTGAGCCTCATATCGTCCTGTCCATCTATGCCTATTGATGCAACATCCGTCTAAGTAATAAATTAAATGAATACATGTATACGGAACATTAAAAGGAAATAATGTTTTGCTCACAGCACGTTTAAGAAAGTCTGCGTGTCAGAGGCAGCAAAAAAGAAAAGAAAGAAATAGTACATAAAAAAGTACTCATAAAATTGTGGAGGAAGGACTGAAGGAGGACGGGCTGAATCGATAAGGGCCAAATATGAAATGTGCACCCGGAATCATGAAGTGCCAAGTACGGTAAACTGGTCAAACTTAGAAGTGTTTGTAAACAATTAAGGTGGTCAAAAGCAACAAGTGTTTGATATCGGAGGTAATACTTGTATTTTCTCGCGGAGATTTCTGGTTGGACATGCACATTAACCATTAGCATGTGCTGATGTGCAGATCATCGTTTGAACAGGGTACTAAATGTGATGTCTATACATTAATTTTTAGCTGTTTCGCAATAACCAGAGACAAACACTGGCTGCAATGTGCAGATACCTAACAGCAATAGTCCTCTCTAACATTCACTTATTCTCGTCGTGTGACAAACATTGGCTGTGCGAGTGTGCAGACATCTACTGTAACAGCCTAACAGGTAACAGCGATAGTCGACTCTAACATTCATTCTCATCGTGTGCTAGTTCTCATCAGATCTCCCAGGTTAGTCGCTCTCTGCATCATTTTCCGGTACGCTCCCCAATGAACATGCACTCGAGACAGAGACGCATACGAAAGCTCAGTGGCGATCTGTGGTTCTGAACTTCTTCCAGCCGCGGTCGCCCCGAAACCGAAAGCAAGTGGCATCGGAGATGAGCTAGTGACCCGTGAGCGGGCCAGGCAGGGGCGGTACGTACCGGGTGACCCCGCGGTAGATGGAGCTGCGCTTCCCGGCGGCGCAGGGCGTCATGCGGCTGATGCGGTCCTTGGCGGTGCAGACGCGCTCCTTCCGCGCCGGCGCGAGCCTCCTGGGCGGGGCCTGCTCCGCGACCGCCACCCCCACCGCGGCGCCGTACGCGGGTGGCGGCCCCTCGCTTCCCCCCGCCGCGGCCTCCAGTTTCTTCTGCAGCCCCGACGCGTCGGCCGCGGCGGGGTTGGGGGAGGCCATGGCGCCGCCGCCGCCGTACAGCGCCCTCCGCCGGATCGGTCGGGCTGGCTAGGAGGATGGGGGCGAGCGCTTTGGCCTTTGGAGCCGTCGCGGTGGTGGTGACCGTTTGGGGGCGGCCGTGGTGGTGGTTTCAAATGGAGGGGGGTGGCGTTGGGGTGGGGGAGGAGGGGCAGAGGCAGAGGCAGAGGTGGTGGATGGGGACGCGTGGAGCCCAGTGGGCCGGCACATGGGGAGCAGCGAGCCGCAGGGGAATCCGAGGATGCGCGATTGATGATGACGGCGAGAGAAGAAGGGAGAGAGTTGAGCCGAGCCCGAGGATAGCGGGCCGGGGCCGGAATGGGACAGCAGCAGCGCCACGGCGGATGCGGGTTTGTCCGGCCCGTCGTCGTTTGCGCGAACGGCATCGGTACGGCCCCGTGGCCGAGTTACTCCCATCGATGCCGACAGGGGGAAACCCCGTGATGAAAAACACGCGAGATGTTCAGATGAAACGTCGTGATGATGCATAAAATTACACTGGAAATGAACTGAGTGGAGTGGGGTTCAATGCTTCAGGACCGTTGGCCACCATGTATGTATGCATCCCCGTGTCAGAACTCAGATGTGGCAGCGGATCAGTGATGAGTGAATGGGGCTGATCGAGTTGAGTTGGTTCATGGGAGGGCGTGGAGTACCACGGTACTGCTGTGCGCTGTGCGGCATTGAAGGCAGGTGTACTGCGCTGCATATTTACTCTCTACTGGCTACATCCGTGTTAATGTTGCACTCGCTTCACGTCATGTAGGGTATAGGCCGTTGTGGCAACATCCTCAGTCACATCGCCACGGGCAGATCAGTGCAGCACCCATATTCGATAGAAACTTACAATTATATAAGAACCTCCAAATATTTATGAATCACATAATTAAATCTTGTTGAAAATTGTAAAAAGTTCCCGCAACAACACAAGTACGTAGAACCTTAGAGCATCTACAACCGAACTTCTTAAATTGACCGGGCAGGATGGGGACCACTGACCCGGAACCTTCATATCCATCTCAAATATGGGGAGGATATAATGGCTCGCGGACACACACGGGTGCGCCCCGTCAATCCGCCACATAGACCGTGGCCCCACCTTGGACCACCTTTTCTCTTTCTTTATTCATTTTTTCTTTCTCTCTCTTTATCTCCACCAATCACGTGTAAGTCACCGGATATATGAGAAAGAAATGAGAATTGTGGCTGCGCGGATGGATAAATAGGGGCTCAAAACGGACATGCCCGGTCACTGATCGGATGCGTCCGCAGGCATTTGAGTGGTCGAATTAGAGGTACCAGGTACGTGGTTGAAGATGCTCTTACTAAGCAAAACATGCATACCAACATGCTGAGAGAATAACACTAATGCAAGAGAGGGTTGGCGGAAAATGAATGACAAATGTAAACAAATGCTACATGTCAGTGATTACAAAATGAACGACCATGCAAAGTGGTTGTCTAAAGGCATCTCTAATCCAACTATAATAGTTAACTGCAGAAAAGCTCGCTCTCAAAAGCCAGGATTTTGGAGGCCGCATTCTAATCAATCCCTACAATTAGCTTCCAATAAAGTTTCTTTGCAATTAAACTAAAGCTGAACAACACAAATTTAGCCACCATCACTACAAACATATATCATTTCCTAACAATTACACAAATACTACAATCCTAAATATAATATGACGCTAGATCTAAGCATTGTAACCCTCTTATACTCAGCTGCTTTTGTACATCTTTGCCCTCATCCTTCTATCTTGTTGTTGTCATTGATCTACAACATTAATTTTGTTGATTCTCCACCCAAGCTTGTTTTTCTTCATCGCAAGATCCCGGGGTGACATCTTTTGTCTTGCATTTCCTTTCTCTGCCTACCCACTTCACATATTCACAAAATGTTTGTAACCCTTCAATGGGCAACCCAGAAACCTCCTCCCAATGTTGACTCAGTCATTGCAAACACGCCGAGCGTGGCCAAGGAGATGCCAGCATCGCTCGTGCTTCCTCTCACCATCACTGAAGTTGGCACTGTAGCCAAATTGTAAGAGCTTGAACTCAAAGTCCGGGAACTCCTTCGCCCCCATTGAAGATATTCACGAACCTTAACTTGGTCCATGACTTGCAAGCAACACCAACAGGCTTCCTTCGCTAACATCATCATTGCCGCCAAGGTTGATTTGAGGGGGGGGGGAGCAAAGGTTGATTTGAGGTAGAGGATAGTAAAGGGGTCGATTTGAGGTGAGGGATAGCGAAGAGGTTGATTTGAGTCGGTGGACGACGGGGGACGGCAAAGGGGTCGGTTGGAGGAGGAAGCAGAAGCACACAAGTCAATTGGAAGCGACATGTGGCGGGGCAATTGAGGACAATGGCGGCGTTGACAACAGACGGCTAGTGGTGGGAAGGATGCGTGGGGTGGCGACTACAAAGGATGCATGGGGTGGCGACTACGAGGCGTTGGTAGGTCGGGAACGGGTCAAAGGAGAGGGCTCAGGACGGATGAGGGGCGACATTGCCAGCAAGATCGGTTGGGGCAATGACTCGCGAGCAGTGGCGACGACGGTTGGGAGGAAGATAGTTGTTGCACATGTGACTAGGATGAAAGCAGTGGCACATCCATCCCATAAGTATAACCCGGGCAAGACCTAACCAGGAGACAGTGTGAGCTACCACCTGCCAAAAGAAATAATCTTTCACCATGGATTATGACTAGTGTTTAGGAGTAATATTCTGGACTAGCCCGGAGTCACCCGGAGGTGGCTCCGCCACTAGAGGAAAGCACTGGCAACCGAAATATTAGCAGGGGATGGTTGTTTTGCGGGGCCAACCCAAGAACCTTTTCAAAGTTAAAGCCATCGTGGGGATCGTAAAAAAAGCAGTTTTATGAGAGTTAGATGTAGGGCTTGGACTAGACCTGTTATAATGTGACAAACACACACCACTAGACAGGGTTGGGCAACCTCGAAAATTGGACAGTTTGGATCAAATTCATATTCAACCCTCACTCAACACAAATCTGGTAATCTCAAAGGAGGGGAACATACAAGAATTTTTCTATTACTGCTATTAAGAAAATAGAGTCTTTGTACAACCTCAAGAAACCTTTTCTTTGGAATTCATTACAACAATACTCACAATTTTCTAACTGTCTTTTTATAGTTGAAACAAACTTCTTACCATGTACTAGCAAATTGTTGAGCTTGAAATCAAGTCTGAACTCCTTTCCGCACAAAATAAAAGATTGAACTTGATATAACTTCTTTTTGCTAGAATCCTTATATTGATGGTTACTATGTCGATTTGCCTAGTACGACAACTCTGCTAGAGTTGGTTTAGATGCTATCGGCAAACATGAACCTGAAAGAAAAAATCATATTTGGGTGGGCCATCTTAGTACTTATTTACAATTTTGGTTCAGTGTCGTATCTAGTAAGCGCACGTATGGAGATGTGTGCTCATGTGCATCACGAAGGTCGAAACACGGAGTCACGCTCCAGCCGACGTAGGTGGACAGAAGATGCACGTGTATGTGCGTCCTCGCTACATCATGCATATTCCAACGGTTATCACACGGACACACGGTGAGTAAATAGCATAAAGCTACTAGTTTACAGGTTAGGGTTCCAAAAAACTACCACTCTTTTAATTTTCTCAGAAAGCTACCAAACGCGCGGTCCGCTGTTTTAAAAAACCCAAACCCGTGGTGGTTAGCGATTTAACCATTTTTCTGACGGCCTGGGCCCATCTGTCAGCCCACGTGGCCACGCGCGCTCACGGCGCGGCAGTTCACGGCCGTTAGCCGACGCGGTCCGGTCGGAACCAAAGTAGGCTGTCGGGTTTCTTGTTCTCTCACTCCCCTCCTCTCCCCCTCCTCTCCCCCGCAGTGACCTAGTGGGCGATGGCGGCGACGCAGCCAAATCTCGTCGGCGGCGAGCGATTGAGCCAAGGCGGCACTGGCGAGGAGGGCGGTGGACCCTCAGAGGTGGACAAATGGCTAGACAGCTCGAGCTTCCCGGCGCAGCGGTCGCGGCAGCCATCACCGCCCGCGGCTCATGTGGATCCGGCGAGTTCAGATCCGGAAGTCCGCGCGGCCAGGGTAGTGGCGAAGCGCATCCACGCTGATCCAGCAGGCGGCCATCATTGGGCTTCGTCCTTTGGTGGAGTGAGGTAAGCACTACTCAATGTTTCTGGGTGCTTTAGTTCAAATTAGAAGAAAGTGCTACTGTATTTATGGGTCAATTTAATCCTACAGCTTAGATGATGCGAGTTGGGACTATAAGGCTACATTTTTAAGGAATAGATAATATGGAGAAAAAGTATTTAGTGTCCTCAGATATCAGTTATCTGACCATATTAGCATTGGTTGAGTTGGAGGGCTATGGAATGGATGCATTTCTAATTTATGTAAAGGAAGAGGGAAAGGGGCTGGAGGGTGTGGAGGCCCTGGATAGTGAGGAGGCATTAGAGGAAATGCTGGACTTATTTGTTGATAATAAGGTACTGAACATCAGTGTCAGAAAAGCTACTGATCCAAGCCCAGCAGATGAGGAACAGATCCCCATTGATCATGTTGGTGAACCTGTTGTTTACAGAGTTTCACAAGAAGGTGTTCTGTACCCTGCCCCTGATGATCCCTACATAAACACACAACAAAGCAGCAATTTTAATAAGGGGAAAAAAGTTGTGGAAGAAGAAGATGTAGAAGAAGCAGGAGATGAAGAAGAAGAAGAAGTACCAGAGGAAGAAGATGAAGTTGAAGATGACAAATCATCTTCAGATTTTGAGTTCTTTAGGGGTGATTACAGAGGGGAGAAAATTTCTTACAAAGCTTGGTGTAGGGGTGAAGATGAGACTGGCACTGATACTGCAGAGCACTTCTGTGCAGCTAACTCAGAACCTTCTGAGTTTTGGGAGGAAGAACCAGTTGTTTCTGAAGATGAACAAGTAGAGGATCCTGGCATAAGTGATCCTGGTACTGTAACTACAAATGCAGCCAAAAAGCTTAAGCCAGTTAGAAAACCTGGCCCAACTAGCAAGTCTCACAGTGAGCCTGAGCACATCAAGTTTGAAGATTATGTCCCTGAAGCTCTAACTTCTCCTCGCTGCCATACACTTCATTCAGCAGCTCAGCAACAACAAGCTCAAGCTTTGCCTTCTCCTTCTTAAGAACATCTCTGTCAACTTCAACATCCTTCATAGCCTTCCTAGTGTTCTTGATGATATCAGCTTGGCTCTGCAAAATGCACCTCTGCTCTTTTGCAAGTTTGAGCTTTTCCATCTACACCTCCAACATGGCTTTCTCCTCTAGCTCCTTCTTCTTCTTCTCAAGTTCTTCCTCCTCCACTTGTTTCTTGTCCACCCTACCATCCTGCCAATCAAACATCTTCGATACATCATCAACAAGCTTGGTGTACTCAATGCAAAGCTTGTCATTTTCAGTCCTCAGCTTGGCCAACTCCCTTTCATGTTCACTCTTAAGCCTGGCCAACTCCTGCTCAAAATTCTCCTTGTCCTGTACCCTTCCAAAGTTCTGCTCATGGAACATCTCCCATAGCTTGCACAAATATCTCTGAAGAACAGTTGGCCAAGGCCCATCAACCCACTCTGTAACACCACAATTCACACCATTTTCCTGCATTTGTAAATGCGAAAAGTTATTACAATGCCATTAGTAAGTTTCCAAAGTGGCAAAAATACATATGTGTCTGTCATATCAAACAAACTGCTGCATCATATCAAACATCACTGAACATCCATAGCAGAAAACTTAATTGGCATCTAACCTGGACTGGGCAGCCATAGAAACGCCTCCCTGTTACAGGCCCTTCAAAAGCAACACGCTTAATAGGCCTCAGTTGGTGCAGAATGCACTTGGGATGAGCAAGCTCAAGTTGGCCACAGAAAAGGGGCTCCACAGTGGTGTCTGGTTCCTCCTGCAACCATAATAACCAACAAAAACTGGTTTCAATCTGCACTCAATACCAGAATCAACTTGCACTGTTCATTAAATCCCCAAATCAGCATGAACCCTAACACTGTACAGAGATGAACCCTAGGTTACCTAAATCCTACAATCAAACCGCACCCTCCACTAATCAAGAACAATATCACACACACAACAACAACACTACACTAAGCAACATCCATGGCTGTAGCCTAAGCTACTAGCACCTAACCCTAACCCTAACCCTAGGTGGCAAAGAACTTACCATAAGTCTCAGTCCATGCTGACAGCCTCGCACTCCTCCTCCGAGCTGGTTTCCTCGCCGTTCCAGGAAGGCATTGCGGCAAGGAGGTCGACGGCCACCGGCCTCGAAGACGGCGCGCGGCGGCGAGCTCGTACTGGAGCAGGGGAGTGAGAGCAGGGGAGTGAGCGAGCAACGAGAGAGTGAGCGAGTGTGTGATCCCGACCGACCGAGCGGGTATATTTACCCCACTTCCGACCGGGCCGGTCGGCTAACGGCCGTGAACTGCCCCGCCATGAGCGCGCGTGGCCACGTGGGCTGACAGATGGGCCCAGGCCGTCAGAAAAACGGTTAAATCGTTAGTCACCGCGGGTTTGGGTTTTTTGAAACAGCGGACCGCGCGTTTGGTAGCTTTCTAATAAAATTAAAAAAGTGGTAGTTTTTTGGAACCCTAACCTGTAAACTAGTAGCTTTATGCTATTTACTCACACACGGTCAATCGAGCATGCAGTAGTGTCAAAATTAAAGAGCAAACAAAAGGTTTTCTCTGATCATCAACTACTAGATCGAACCGTCAACACGTAGACGTACCACGCAAGCAGAAGCAACTCACGAACGCACGCTTAGGATTTCAGGATGACGCACGTACTACTGCTGCTTCGGCGGCGGCGGCGGCGCTGGGGTGGCCGTCGTCGGGCCCTGCTTCTGCAGGAGACGCTGGTCTTCTGCTTCCTGCAGGCGCGCGATGACGGCGTGCAGCAGGCCGATGGTCTGCTCCTGCCTCATCGCGGTGGCCTCCATCCTCCTCAGGGCCTCGCCCTGCCTCCGGATGGTCTCCTCCTGCTTGCGGGCGTTCTCCCGGATGGACTCCTCCAGCCGCGCCTTGTGGCGAGCGTCGGCGGTGGCCTTGGGCAGGAGGTCGACGACGTGCCTCGCCACCGGGCGCGGCAGCACCGACTCCACCATCGCCTCCAGCTCCCACTCGCTGCTCTTCTTCCACCCCCACCAGAACCCCACCGGCACGCCCGTCAGGAACCACTTCGCCCTGATCATGGCCATCGAGACCGATCTTGATGGATGTGCGACGGTGGGTCTAGCTCTATTAATCTCTCTCCGATCTACGGGCCTAGCAAAAGAAAACACACGATGGATATGTTCTGGATATATAGGGAGCGTGTGAATATCGAGATGTTTGCTAGGGTTAGTTGTCTGGCCCGCGCACGTATGAGGCATGCGCGGCTTGGGTTACAAGATGTACTCTAGAGGTCGAACGTACGTACGCGTACACAAACCATCAATTTTTTTTTTCTTTGAGAAATACACAAACCATCAAACGAAGGATCGTTTCGGGTGCGGCCGGCCTCCATACGTGCTTAGCAAGTTTTTTTTTTTTTTGCAAGCGCTACGCCTTGGCCGGCTGATTTTTTGGCAAAGATCGAGTCACGAAATCCTTCGGTATGATCGAACGGAAGTTCGAATGCAGCATTGATCATGTCGACAGGCCTGCCGAAAACACCCCCCCTCCTCAGAGTCGCTCTCTCAAGGGCGACTCAGGGGCGACCTAGGGTTCCTCTGCGCCGCCGCCTTCCTGTCCCCATCCACCTCGCCATTGCCGGAGGCGGTCGTTGGGGCCCCCGTGCGGCTGCCTGTGAGGGCGGCGGTGAGGCCTTTGGCCGCTCCTTTCGGTGGTGAGGGCCCGGATTTGAGGCGCGGGGAGACCCTGTGCTCCCCTCATCAGATTTGAGGCGTTCCGGTCCGCTCGTGATGCATGTCTTCCGGCGTGTCACATCCTGATTTTCATACCACGTCATTTAAGTTAATTAAGCGTGAAAATTTGAACCAACAAAAACTTTTGTGTGATTTGGCTTCATTCTGATTTGAGTTCTATTACTATTTTGAAAGTGCTCTTAAAACTTAAATTCCCCAAGTCGCATGCTCCATCTCATTGATCCAAAACTTTGTCCAATGATCATACCATGTGTATAGGACATAAAAGTATTTTCTTACAAAAGTAATTTGGCTAAAAAGTATTTTTTAAATTAGGTTTTCATAAAACCCCCGAGTTAAGGCTTGAACAACAAGTACTTAATTTAGGGTGTGAAAGATCTTTCAAAAGCTATATTTGACTCCTATTAGATATAGGACTCCCAGAAACCACAAAAATATTATTTTAAAATTTATTTTTCTATTTTATTTAAAGGCTTTTTCTTAAGGCTAGAAATTGTCTTTAATAGGTCAAAATTATTTTATTATTTCACAAACATTTTAGAAAACTTAGGGAAGCTCATTGGACATATATTGTCCATATATAAGAGTTTCAACACATGGTGATGGTCAAAACATTGGTCAAAACCCTCAATTACCCTTTCTAGATATTTCAAGCTTTTGAAATATTTACAAAGGAATTTTTCTCCAATAAATCCAGGAAAATTCTATCATGTCACAAATGCCATATTTGGTGATATTGCCACCAAAACACCTTCTGCATTTCCAAGTTTGATCAACTTTACATTGCCAAACATGTCCAAATGAGCTCAAACTTGGTACACATGTTCAAATGGTCTAATAATTCACCTATGCCAAGTGGTGCATCAAGGAGAACAACTTAACCTCGTTAAATCTTGCCAAAACAATTTCTTCCCATTTCTAGGGTTTGAAAAAGTTACATTGGCAACTTTCTCCAAACGAGCTCAAATTTTTACCACATTGTCAAATGATCATGAGAATCACCCCTATCAAGTGGCACAAGAAGGAGATGAGTAATTCTAGATCAAACCCACATCAAGCACCTTGTGTCATTTTGCAAAAATCACCATTTTGACCCCTTTCCACTATTCTCCTTTGGCTCAAAATTTTACCAAAACTGACTCTGGTTACCTTCTATCTCCAGTAAGTTTTTCTTTCCCATGGCT